GGGGGGGGTGCTATTGTGAATAGGTTAATTTTCCTAATTTCTCTTTCAGTGGATTTATTGATGATGTATAGGAATGTGTTTGACTTATGGGTGTTGATTTTATATCCTGCTGCTTTGCTGAATTCACTTATTCTAGAATTTTTCTAGTAAATTTCTTTGAACTTCTAGATATAGAATCATGTCATCAACAAATAGTGACAGTTCTTCTATATCTATTTGTATTTCTTTAATTTCTTTCTTTTATCTAATTGCTCTGGGTAGAGTTTCAAGGATGATGTTGAATAGAAGTGGTGAAAGAGGACATCCTTGTCTTGTTCCAGTTTTTAGTGGGAATGCTTTTAATTTTTCTCCATTTTGAATGATGCTGGTCTTGGGTTTAGCATATATAGCTTTTTGAGCATGAAAATGTGCTGTATTTTGTCAAATGCTTTTTCTGCATCTATTGAGATGACCATATGATTCTTGTTTTTAAGTATATTAATATAATGAATTACATTTATTGATTTCTCTATATGGAACAAACCTTGCATCTCTCGGATGAATCCCATTTGATCGTGGTGCACTATCTTTTAAATATGTTTTTGTATGTGATTTGCCAGAATTTTATTGAGAACTTTTGCATCTATGTTCATCAGGGATATTGGTCTCAAGTTTTCTTTCTGTGATGTGGCTTTGTCTGGTTTTGGTATCAGGGTGATATTGGCCTCATAGAATGAGTTTGGAAAGGTTCCCTCCTTATTTATTTCATGGAATACTTTGAAGAGTATTAGTATTCATTCTTCTTTGAAAGTCTTGTAGAACTCAGTTGAGAGTCCATCTGGTCTGGGCTTTTCTTGGTTAGTAGGCTTTTGATGGTGTTTTCTATTTTATTACTTGAAATTGATCTATTTAAAGCATGTATGACCTCATCATTCAGTTTGGGTAGGTCACATATCGTTAGAAATTTGTTGATATCTTTAATATCTTCTATTTTATTAGAGTATAAATTCTCAAAATAGTTTCTAATTATCTTCTTATTTCAGATGTGTCCATTGTGATATTTCCTTCTTCATCTTGTACTTTAGTAATTTGGAGTTTTCTCTTTGGTAACATGGCCAGGGGTTTATCTATTGTATTTATTTTTTCAAAGAACCAACTTTATGTTTTGTCAGTTTTTCCAATTGTTTCAATTTCATTAATTGCAGCTCTGATTTTAATTATTTCCTGTCTTCTACTGCTTTTGGTGTTCTTTTGTTTTTTCTTTTCTTAGGGCTTTGAGATGTAGTGTTAGGTAATTTATTTATTGACTTTTTATTTTTTAATGAATGCACTCGATGCAATAAACTTTCCTCTGAGTACTGTCTTCATAATGTTACAGAGATTTTGATATGATTATCAGTGTTCTCATTTACCTCTAAGAATTTTTTATTTCATTCTTGATTTCTTCTACTATACATCATCATTCAATTGTGTATTATTTAGTCTCCATTTGTTACTTCTATTTTTATTTTATTGTTGATTTCTAATTTCATTCCATGTGGTCTCATAGAATGCAAGATATTATCTCTGTTTTTTTTTTTTGTATTTACTAAGATTTGCTTTGTGGCATAAGCTATAGTCTGTTTTAGAGAAGGAGCCATATGCTGCTGAGAAGAAAGTATATTTGCTCGTTGATGGATGAAATATTCTATATATGTCTGTTAAGTCTAAATTATTGATTGTGTTATTTAGTTCTATAGTTTCCTTATTTAGTTTTTGTTTTGGAAGATCTGTCCCATAGTGAGAGAGGTATGTTAAGGTCACCCAGTATTACTGTATTGTGGTCTATTTGACTCTTGAAATTGAGAAGCATTTGTTTGATGTACATAGATGCTCCATTGTTTGGGGCATGAATATTTGTAATTGTTATATCCTTCTTATATATACTTTCCTTAAGAGGTATGAAATGTCCTCTTATGACTCTTCTGATTAACTTTGGTTTGAAGTCTACTTATCTGAGATGAGAATGGAAACCTCTGCTTGTTTATACAATCCATTTGAGTGATAAGTGATACATCCTTTCACCTTCCGCCTGTGGATGTCTTTGCTCATGAGGTGAGTCTCTTGAAGACAGCATATTGTTGGATCTTGCTATTTAATAAAATCTGCCACTCTATGATAGACGAGTTTAGGCCATTAACATTGAAGGTTATTATTGTTACATGATTTTTGTATTCCCTATCATTTTGATTTTTTTCTCGTTTTTCATTTGTCTTAGTTTAGTTTCTCACTTGGTTGAGGGTTGTTTTAGTGTAGATCCTCCCTTTGCTGGTTTGCACTTTTTTTTTTTTCCCCACTTCATCCTCATGGAATATTTTGTTGAGAATGTGCTGTAATATAGACTTTCTAAGTGTGAATTCTTTTAATTTTTGTTTATTATGGAAGTTTTAATTTCATCTTCAAATCTGAAACTTAATTTTGCTGGATATAAAACTATTGGTTGGCATCCATTTTCTTTAATGGCTTGAAATATATTATTCCAGGACCTCCTAGCTTTGAGGTTCTGGGCTGAAAAATCAGTTGAGATCTGAATTGGTTTCCCTCTATTTGTAATTTGAGTTTTTTCTCTCATACCTTTAAGGTTTTATCTTTATCCTCTGTGTTAGTCATTCTAGTATAATGTGTCTTGGTGTGGGTCTGCTGTAATTTTGTACATTTGGGGGTCCTACAAGCCTCTTGTATTTGATTTTTCTGTTCCATTCTTTAGATTGAGGAAATTTTTTACTATTATATCATTTAAAAATTATGCATTCCTTTGGTTTGTATCTCTGATCCGTTATCTATTCCAATAACTCTTAAATCTGATCTTTTCATGTTATCCATAATTCTTGGATGTTCTGTTCATAGTTTCTTACCATCTTCTCTTCATGGGCAACTCTACTTTTAAGATTATGTATTTTTTCTTTATTGTCTGAGGTTCTGTCTTCCAAGTAATCTACTCTGTTGGTGATGCTTTTTATTGAATTTATAATTTGGTTTACTGATTCCTTCATTTTAAGGATTTCTGCTTGTTTTTTTTTTGTTTTGTTTTGTTTTTCATGATCTCTAACTCTTTATTGAAGTAGTCTTTCATTTCCTATATGTTCTTTGATTTCACTCCTCATACTGCCCTTTATTTCACATATCAATTTAACTATATGCAATCTGAACTCCTTCTTGGAAAATTTTTTTACTGTGTTATCAGCGGCTGCTGTTGTTGAAGCATCTTGGTTTGTTTGGGGCTTTTTATTTCCTTGTTTTTTCATGTTGTTAGTGTGTTTTCCCATCTAGAAGTATGGATCTAAGGCAGCATAAAATCTACCCTGTAGACTTATAGTGTCTAGGTGTGTGAAGGTTTCCAGAGCCTCACATTTAATGGTGAGACCAATATCAATATTACTCAGTATATAATATGTAGCCTTAAACCTAATAGCTCCCACTAAGGCAACTACTGCTTTCTCGCATTGAACCAAAATCTTATTCACAGATTTGAAGACAAATCCACAGACAACAGAAGACAAGAATGAAGGTTTACTAGTTATATAAGTGAAAAGAAAAGAAACAGAACTCTCAGGGGCTGAGAGCAGAACCTGAGAGTAGGTTTCCACTTAAGTGTACTAGTCTAGGGACTTAAATAGCTACTGGATGAGGCATTCATCAATATCTGTGCTAATCAGGTCTTGGGAAGATACTAAAGGTGTTGGTCAGTATCTATGCTAATCATGTCTCATAAAAGTGCAAATACTATTGGTCAACACCTATGCTAAACAAGTATTGGAAAAGTGCCAAGGCTCATGCTTTGGTCTGTGACATTCTGATTAGTTAGGCCTCGAGTCTGTAGTCTTCACTCAGGTTGGCTCTATCTCCTTTTTCCTGCCACTATAAAGTTGGCTATAATGTTTGGAATGTTTTCTATAGGTTAGTTTTGTGAAATAGCCTCTTTATTTAATCTCTCTCTCTCTCTCTCTCTCTCTCTCTCTCTCTCTTTTAATTTTTGGTGTGGGGGAGTGCATTTTCTTAACTGTCTGCCTGTTTTTCTATCTATCCTATCTTATTCATAATTACTTTTGTACTGGATTGATTTGGACATAAGCACAAAAAAATACATGTTTAATACAGATGTAATTTTTTCCTATTTTATTTTCTATCGATGGTTGCTTGAATTCACAGATAAAGAGGGCCAACTTTACTTATGTAGATCTGTGTCTGTGCTCTCTACTCTGTTTCATTGATATATTTGGACATGACTTTGGTGAAAC